CCAGGAAGGCGGCCGCCTCGGCGGGCCGCGCGCGCGCGCACTCCAGCACCGTTGCGTTCAGCAGGCCCTGCAGCGCCGGGGTCCAGCCGCGGGCGGCCCCGGCCTGCAGGATCTTGGACGGCGTCAGGCCCGACGACAGCCCCGCCGCCTGGGTGAGTGATGGTGGGGAGGGTGTGGGGGAAGGGGCATTCCCTTGCGTGGAGGGTGTGGATGTGTCGAGCATTGTGCTCCGAGCATGAATGGCATGACAGTGGTGCCACACAAAGCCCCTCCCGGTCGCAGCAGACATAGAAAGAAAGCGCAAACACACTCAGACACACCTGGAGGAGGAGGGCGGCCTGCAGCGCGGCGGCGCGCTCCGGCCCGCTCAGCGGGCCCTCCAGCAGCGCCAGCGCCTCTCCGCCCAGTGCGGACATGACGCGGGTGACCGCCGCCGCCGTGGCCGGCGCGGCGCCCGCGCTGCTACCCCGCGGGGAGGGCGCTGGCTGGCCGTAGCTACCCACGCCACTCGGGGCGGCGGGCGCGGACCCGGCGTCGGCGGCCAGGCATGCCTCTGCGGTGAGGGAAGAAAAGATGGGGGGATGTGAGAGGAGAAAGCTTGCTGACGGCACTGGTACGTTATCGATACGGCTGTCTTTTCAGCTTGAGACTCGGCTGCTGCTGCCAGATTGCTGTCTACCAGCACAGCTGCAGAACTGGACCGAGCCAGCGCCGGCCGTGGCCCCTTGCTCCTACCCAGCCCCGCCCAAAACAGGAAACCCAGCCTCACACACTCCTCCCCTCTTCCCTCCCCCAAAAGCAACAAAAAACCCTCACCCGCAAGGGCGGCGACGACACCGAGGGCGACGCGGCGGCGCGGCGCGTCGTCCGCCTTGCGCAGCGCCAGGCGCAGCAGCGCACCCACGGCGTCCAACAGGCCCATGGCTCCGCGCGACCCCGGCAGCCCCGGGATGAGCACAGGGCTGGCGGCCTGGGAGGCCAGCAGGCGCCAGGCGCGCGCGCGGCGCCGCCGCGCCACCACCTCCTCCCTGCCCCCCGCCCCGGGCCGGCTGGCGACGGAGCTGCCGCGCGCGAAGCTGCTGCCCGGCAGCGTCGTGGGGGCCGGGTGGGCGCTGTCGCCGGAGCGGCGCCCGCCCGCTTCGCGCTGCCCCTGCTGCTGGGGGGCCGGGCGGTGGGGGGCCCCCCCGCCAGCGCCTCCAGCGCGCCGAAACGCACCATGTCGGCCTTGTCCCTGTCGAGCGACGAGGGGGGGGGGGGGGGTGGAGCAGGTCACTGAAGGTGCATTAAACGAGTCTAGACATGGAGCATAGGTTGGGGGGCAGCTTGACAGGCTGGCGCCGGGTGGAGGATGGCGCAGAGGCATCGGCGTCGCCCACTTGACGGTAGAGTGCCGGCCTCCTCTTTGAATGCTACCCGCCGGGGTGCCAATACACAAATCTAGAATCTCCCTCTCCACACACACACACACTCCCCGCAACCATCCCAGAACACGCCGACACTCCCGCCCCAAGCCCATACCTGGTGGCCAGCAGGCAGAGCATGTTCCAGAAGGGCGCGCCGTCGCGCGAGATGTCGGCGCCCCGCGCGTCCGAGTGCACCACCTCCGCGCAAAGCCGGGCAAGGGTCAGGCGGGCAAAGGGGTCGGCGAGGTTGATGGGCGAGGGGGGCGTTCCCGCGCCGCCCCCGGGGCTGGCCTGATGAGCGGCGGGGGAGCCCTGGCCAGGCACCAGATTCCCGCTGCCATCCCGTGCCCCAGCCCCCGCCTCGCCACCGCTGTCCTGCGCATACGCCGCGGCCGCCTCGGCCACCATGCCGCCCATCTCCAAGGCAACGGCGCTGGGCTCGCGGGCGGCGACCAGCGCCGCCAGGCCCAGCGCGTGCCGCGCGCCCACGGCGTCGGGCGAGCCCAGGCCCACGAAACAGGCGCGGGAGACGGGGTCCAGCCCCGTGGCCGCGCCACCGGCGCGTACCGCCGCAAACACGCTGTGCTGGAGGGCCCAGTCGGAGGCCGCGCCGCCCTCGCCGCCGTCGGGGGGGCCGCGCGGCGTGGGGCGCTCATCCGCGGCGGCGATGGCCGCCTGGACGCGGGCCAGCAGGAGCTTGCGGGCGGGGGCGCTGGCGCGCGCCGCCGAGGCGAAGAGGAAGAGCAGCGCCCGCTGCAGGCCGGGGTCGAGGTCGGGGCGGGCCAGCAGGGCGGAGGCGTGGTCCAGCACCACCGTCAGCACCTTGTCGTCCACTTTTTTAGACGCTGCGCATGTGTGGAGGGCGAGGGGGCCGGGGGGGTTTGAGTGGGTGGGTCCCTTGGGTGGGTTGGGGGGTATAAAACCATGTCGCCCCCCCAGTCCTCACTCCCTCACTCGTCGCGGGGTCGAAGAGCGTGGGCGTCCCGGCGCTGTTGCCTGACAGGTAGAGGCCCGCCAGGTGGGACAGCGGCTTCACAAGCCGCACGTCCTCCCCCTGGGCGGGGAGCAGGCGGGCCAGGGAGGCCCCCGCCTCGGGGGACAGGTGCTCAAAGAGGAAGAGCAGGCGCAGGGCACTGGCCAACGACGCCTTGGAGGCCTTGTCGTCCGCCTGGGAGGCCACCGTGAGCTGGTGCAGCACATTGCTCAGGCCCAGGGGCTGGAGTGGGGGGGTGTAGGGGGAAGCTGGTATGCCATGGCATGCAGATGGACAGTGTGATCGACTTGCTTACACTCCCACACCCCAAAACCATCTCAATGACTCCAGGCGTGGCCCGCTTCAAGTCCTGCTGGGCAACGATCTGCGCACCTGATCGGTCCCCACTGCAGTGGTGCAGACGTAGCGAGACAAGAGGGGGTCCCGGCCGGCGCCTCTACCCTCGGGCCTGGACTCAGATCGTTGGACAGGCTGGGGCCCGGGTCTACCTCCCACACCCAGGGCCTTGAGGCGGGAGCCCACAGCACTTGTGGCGTCCCGGTACACCGCGGCAGCCATACTGTGATGTAAACACACGCGGAGCTCAGTATGTCACTGGGGTCATCGCGCGTGACGTCACCAGAAAGACCCCAGTGCACTCCGCGCGTCGCGGCTATCCGACGAGAGAAAATACCGACTGTTCGCAATGCGAGTCGTGATGACAATGTAGGGATGGGGAGGGATGCTTCCCCTCCTGCTCAGATCGGTTTGCTAAGAAATCTGGTTCCGTGTTTACCGGGCCAGAACCTCAGCACGAAATCAACTGCGGGAGGGAGCTCGATTGCTCCTTCTTGCATGCTTGAGCTCGTAGGTCGCTGTCATTGTATAGTATCTTATGATTACGGAATCTGTGTTGATCTGCAAATTTGCTCCTGAAAACTGCTGCGAGTCTACCTGAGCAGCGCCGATGGGAAAGCGGAAAAGCGCCAAGCCCCCACCGGCGAAGAGCAAAGCAAAGCTGGATGTAACGTTCGCCTGTCCGTTTTGCAATGCAGGTATGCACACAGAGTTCTATCCCCTTGCACTGATGTGGGAGCAGGGAATGTCCGCTCCACCAGTATTATGCTTGCACCGCCAAAACCTACACAACCACCCATGCAGACAAGAGCGTGACATGCACGATGGACCGGGAACGGGGCGTGGGATCGGTTTCCTGTACTCAGTGCAGTGCAAGCTTTGCGGTGAAGATCCACACTCTGTCAGAGCCCATCGATGTGTACAGGTGGGACCAGGGTGTCCACTGGCTGCCTGTATCGATGGGGCGGCTGAGCATAGGCTCACGCACCCCCTGCAGCCCTTGCTCACACCCCACGCATAACAACGCAGTGACTGGATCGATGAGTGCGAGCGCGTGAACGCTGCATGAGCTGGCAGCTCGACTCAGGCGAGACTTGGCGACACCTCCTCAGGCCCTGCGCTTGGGCCTGCGGGACGGTGATGCTCGCCGGCGGACGGCGCTTGCCCTGTCGCCGGGCGACTGCACGTGCCATCATTGGCATCCACGCACTCCGGGTCCGAGGGCCGCCACCTCTGCCCCGTCAGCGCCAGCCGGATCAGAGCGTGGGCGGTGACCAGGCCTGGCGTCGACTGGCCTATGCCGGCCAGCAGGCCATCCATGCAGCCGCAGAGGGCGTGCAGCCTGTCACAGACTGCCTCCAGTCGGGCCCTGGCCTCCGTCCAGCCCCGGGGCGTTGTTCCGGAGCATCCCCGCTGGGCGGCGGCCGTCCATAGGACTGCCTGCATGGTTAGGGAAGGGGTTCAAGGGATGGCATGGTCCTGGAGCATGCTGCGTCTTGCTCGGCCGGCAGCGGACCTCTTGCGAACACCCAGCATGTGAAGGCACTGCAGACAGCATGCATGGCACAACCCATGCTAGAAAGATGAAGAGGTGGTGGACAGCAGAGGGCGTGCAGTCTGTGCCTGGGGGTGGCGCGGCCTATCTTACTCTTCCAGGCCACTCCACCATTGGGGCGAGTCACCCACCGCCATCCCCAGTCCAAAGTCAGGGACACCCCACACTCCACCCTCACCACACGAAACTGGAACGCGACGTCCCCATTCTCGACTGCCAGCTCAGCACAGGCCGACCGCAGGCCCGCGCAGCGCCCCCGCGCCAGCGCCGCCGCACGGCGCGCGCGCTCCGCCCGCTCCCGGTGCCCCGGCGCGGCGGCCTCCAGGGCCCGGGCCTCACGCTGCGCTTGCTTCGCCCCCCGCGCCAGCTCCGCCAGCGTGCGCCGCAATGTGTCCGCCGACTGGTTCTGCACCGTCTGCAGCTGGCTGGCCTGGGCCTGGAGTGGAGGGGGTTGAGGGAAGGGGGGGGGCGGGGTATCGGCGGGCTGTAGGGGGTGGGGATGCACTGTCGTGACACGAGTCTCACCGTCCTGCAAGATCGGTGGCTCACGGTTGGCCTCCATAATATAGCCAGCACTGTACGCCACGCCCACCTGTACCTCAGGCCCCATATCATTGATGTCCCCGCTCACCACCTCCCCCTCACCCCCCTGGCCGCGCCTTGTCGCAGACGACGGCCCGTCGCGCGATCGTCCTTTCCAGCTCCAGGGCCAGGCGCTCCCCGCGCCGCGCCTCCCGCGCCACCTGGGCGCGCAGCGCGGTCCGCTGCCGGCCAAGCGCCGCCAGGGGGGCCTCCTGGGCACCCCCAGGCTCTGTCGAGGGGCCCGCTCGCCCAGCCAGCTCGGCGCGCGCCGCCGCCAGCGCCAGCTCGGCGTCGCGCCCCGCGGCGGCCAGGGCCTGGGCCCGGAGCCGCTGCGCCGCCAGGCGCTCGCCCAGGCGCCCGACCTCGTCTCGGACGGCACGCAGCGCCTCCTCCCTCTCCCGCTGGTCCGCGAGCAGCAGGCCCAGCGCGGCGCTCACGCTGGCCCCCACCGCCGCCAGCCGCGCATCTGAGGCCCCCGCCGCCGCAAGCAGCCGCTCCAGGTCGGCCCCGTGCCTGGCCGCACAGGCCCGGGCCTCCTCCAGCCTGGGCAGCAGGACAGAGAGGAAGAAGGGGGGTGGTGATACACTTTGTACACGAGGTGCGAGTCTGGTGTGCATCTCCCCCATCAATGTATGCACACAACCTGGCTCTCCTTCCTCCACCGAAAATTACGAGGCTGCCTCACCTCCCCTCCAGCTGGGCGAGGCGGGAGGCCAGGAGGGACTTGCGCTGCTTCGTCGTCGCCCTGCGCCCTGCCAGCCGGCCCTCCTCCCGCGCTGCCCTCAGCCACTGTGCCTGTGGAGGTGGGGGAGGGCAGGAGGAAGGGCTTCAGAGGACCGGCTACCTCTAGGGAAGAAGCAAGACATGAATTCCCTAGGGAAGAGGCAAGACATGAATCCCAATTACCTGCCACCCTTCCAGCCAGACCGCAACCAATGCATGCCACGGCAGGCAGCTTTACCCCGCCACGAACCCTGTCTCACCTGATTGGCGCGGTCGGCCAGGCGGCCCGCGGCCGACGCCCGGCGCGCCTCCTCAGCGCCCGCCACCAGCTCTGCAAGTGTGTCGCGCAGCCCATCAATGCGGCCACCGGGCCCTGCGCGCAACCCCTCCAGGGCGGTCGCCTTCTGCGCCTCGAGCGCGTGCAGCGCTCGGCGGCAGGCGGCCTCCGCCCTGCGCCCGGCGAGCAGCTGGGCCTGCAGGATGCTGTGCCTGTCGTCCTGCCGCTGCAGCCCCCTGGCCTGGGCGCCGAGCCGGCCTTCCAGCTCTGCCGCCTCCCTGTGCACCGGACCCTCCTGCCTGGCGGAGGCACGAGCAGCGCGCGCAGCGTGCACCCCGATCTCACGCCGCGCCTCCACACACGCCCGCCGCAGCCCCGCGAGCTCCCGCCGCGCCGCCGCCAGCTCCAGCGTCGCACCTGGGGCGCCAGGAGGGTCCTCCCCTCGTTCTGTGCGTACTACCATGGCCGCCTGTGCGGCGCGGCGTGCCCCGTCCTGCGCGGCCTCCGCCCGCCGGAGCTCCGCCTCCAGGACGCAGAGCCGGGCGTCGCAGGCACGCACGTCCTCCGCCAACACGGCGGCCTCCGCCTCGGCCGCCACGGCCGCCGCGCGGGAGGCCGCCCCGCGGTCGCCCAGGTCGCGGGTGCGCTTCGCTAATATTCTCAGCGCGCTTTCCCGCATCCTGCTCGTGGCCTCCAGCGCCCTGGCCTCCGCCTCCGCCTCCTCGGCCTCGGCCACGGCCTCCCGCCCGCGCCGGCAGACATTCCTCGCCACGAGCGCCGCCCGCCCTGTCGCCACCTCGCGCCTCGCCGCCAGCTTCAAAGCGCGCGCGCACTCGGCGCGCAGGCGGCGGCGGGGCCCCGCCGTGCTCTCCAGCTCGGCCACCAGGGCGGCCAGGCGGCGCCGCGCCTCGTCACGCGCGCCGCGGACGCTGTCGCGGGCCGCCTCGCCGGACCGCGCGGCCGCCTGCAGGACGTCCAGCCGGGCGCGGAGGTCCACACATGCCAACCGGGCGCGCGCGAGCCGCGCCGCGGCCGCGGCGCCCTCTCGCCGCGCCGCGGAGCCTAGCGACCGTGCCAGACCCGCCTCGTGCTGTGCACGCTGGGCGTCCCCCGCGGCCGAGCGCCGCGCGACCTCCGTGGCGGCCAGGGCGGCGCGGAGCGCCGCCGTGCCGCCGTCCCGCTCCGCATGCGCCCTCTTGGCGGAGGCGAGCTCGGCTTCTGCCTGCTGTAGGGCCACCTCCTCCCGGCTCCGCTCCTGGGCCGCCTGCGCGGCCGAGGCCTGCAGGCGGGACAGCGAGGCCTGGAGGCCTGCCACCTGCTCCTGCACCTCGTACAGCTGAACACCCTGGTCCTGCCGTGCCCTGGAAGCCGCCTGGAGTACGACCACGGGGTTGGGAATGGAGGAGCGGTCTGAGGGAAAGAGTGCTTGCGCTTGGGAGCCATGCGAATACTAGACGCGAAACCTGCTATTGTCCCTGGGGGATCTTGGTGTGTAAATCAGGGCACCATGAATTGATGATGAGTTGGCGTTGCCCTCTGCTCTTTCTACAAAGCCAGCACCGAGAACATCCTCCTCCATGTGGCCTGCCTTGGCGGCGGTGATTGCCTCACGGAGCTCGTCATGGAGGCGGCGCTGTGTCTCTCGCAGCTGTGCCCCGAGGGCAGCTTGAGCCGCTGAGAGGGCTGGGTGCTCCGGAACAAGACCTTGAATGGTCTTCTCGGGTACCTTGACCAGCGCCATGTCGGGACTCGAGCTGGTCATGGCTACGCTGAGTGTTGGGCTGGCGGGTCCCAAGTCAACAATGGGGCATGACCTATTGAATACACGAACTAAACCCCCAGCGATGATCTCAAGAATTTGGCCTTCTCCTGTCTTCTCATAATTGGTTGCCTTTTAGAAATCAGAGGTGCGTCGAGCTATGCGTCGTGGGGGTAAGGACTCGAATAGCGTGCTGCTGTCGATCAGAATCTCTCGTCGTCAATCAGAACACCGTGCCCCCCAATGTATAATCTGGAAGCCCTTCACTGAAGTCTACACATTGGGCAGATACTTGACCGACGAATAATAATTTTTGTAGGATAGTGCGCAGAAAGACAGGCCATTTTCTCGCCGAACCGGGACGAGGATGGCTGCTTTCACTGCCGCTCGACCGGTGTCAGTGACGGGCAGCAGGTCCACTCAGCAATCCCAAACTAGCTTATTCCTGAAACCGAGTGGATTCCACACAGTAGCACAGCGGAGGAACGGCTCCCAAGGTGAATAGATTGGAGGAGCCTGGGTCAGCACGTTCTCACAGGGAGAGCCCAGGCTGAGGTGCCTCTACTAGCAGCAGCTACACCCCTTCACGCGCATGATGCCCAGCAGGAGTAACAGGGCCCAGGCTACAAGACACAAGTCGTGGGCGATGCCTCTGTCTCGGCGTCAGGGCGGAGACCGCGGGCGGGGTGTCGACCGCCCCAGGCAGCGCACGGGGGTCAGTCGTGGTGGTCGACAACTACGACAGCTTCACCTACAACCTGTGTCAGGTGGATGAATTGGATAGACCGGCCGGCCAGGTCAACTCGCAGGAGCCCTCCCCAGGGTGTGTCTTCCCCTGTGGACCCTGTCGCTACAACCTCCCACGCCTGCCACCTTGTCCCTGCAGTACCTGGGCGACCTGGGGTGTGACTACATCGTCCTACCCAACGATGCAGTCAGCGTAGAGACCCTGGCGGCCATGCAGCCGCTGGGCGTCCTGGTGTCCCCCGGCCCAGGTGCCAAAGTAGGGGTATTGACTGGTTGGCTCATGCACAAGGCCATCCTCTTCAACCTGCCCTGCTCACGACCCATCCCTCAGTCTCGCCCGCCCTCCCAACTCACAGGCCGGCCAGAGGACAGTGGCATCAGCCTGGACACGGTGGCCTCACTGGGCCGAGCGGGTGTCCCCGTCTTCGGCGTCTGCATGGGCCACCAGTGCATCGGCCAGGTTTTTGGCGGCAGCGTGGTGCGCGCCCCCACCGGGGTCATGCACGGCAAGACCTCGCTGGTGCACCACCGCGGGGAGGGCCTGTTCCGGGGCCTGCCCAACCCCTTCCGCGCCGCGCGCTACCACTCGCTGGTGGTGGACGCCGCCTCGCTGCCGCCCGAGCTGGAGGTCACCGCCTGGTGTGAGGACGGGACGGTGATGGGGCTGAAGCACCGGGCACTGCCGGGCGTGCAGGGCGTCCAATTCCACCCGGAGAGCGTCATCACCGACAACGGCCTGACCATCGTCCGGAACTTCCTGGACTCGCTGCCGGCCGGTGTCAGGGCCTGAGCGAGCGGAGGAGTGGCCAGAGCACATGCTGTGGACGGGAGGCCCGGCGGTGATCAGTGAAGGGCTCTGCCCCAGACCTGGGTGGTGTCCTGCGGCGAGTGTGGCACCGGAGCGCGCTCACACCCATGGAAACCCCGCTTCCTGGCTGTGTCTGACCCCATGATTTCCAGTGTACAACTGCATCCAGGACCGATGAGCGCCGGCCAGGGTGGTTACTGTCATCCTCAGAATGAGAGGAGTGGGTCAACAGTGCAGCGCTAGCAGCACTTGGCGGCCACGTGGGTGGAGACCTGGGCGCAGTGACTGGTTGCAACCTGCTCCAGGGCAGCCAAGCGTGAGGTCAGGTCAGGTCCTTGTATCTGTGGCAGGCCTCACTCTTCCGCAACCTGCAGCCTGAGCTGGACCTGGCAAGGGGAGGCGAAGCGCGAATGCAGCCCGTCAGCGGCACGCCACGCGTGGTTTAGACCCCGAACGCACAGGCACCTCCCGCCCCTCCCTCTTTTCCCCCCAAGCAGCTCGTCTGCCTCGCTCTCCTCCATCCACGCACCACACCTTCCCATCTCCTTTCCCTTTCATTCACCTTGAGCGGGGCTACCAGGCCCTTGTCGTTCACGGTGAGCTCCACCAGGGGACCTGTCACCAGCTCCCGCAGCTGGCGGTCCAGGTTGGGCCGGGTCTCCTCCTCGAACACGCCGCGCGCGTAGAGGGGCACGCTGCCCACGCTGAGGCTTGGCTCGCGCAGCAGGCGGCCCAGCGCGGGGTGCAGGGTCAGCAGGCCCAGCAGATCGCGCAGCGTGCATGTCGGGGGCGCGGTCATGGGCACGCCCGCGCTGCAGACCGGGCAGGCGGGGTCCCGCTCGTACTGCGTGGTCAGCGTGTAGACGCCATCCACGCCAGAGTACCTGGATGAGCAAGAGATTGGGAAGGGAAAGCCGCACAATGAGTCAAGCAGGGACGATAAAGGTAAGACACGGGGGGAAAGGGGGGAAAAGCGCGGAAGACGGGTGGCTTCAACACCTGGCGATCTGCGCAAGGGGGGCTCCCAGGGCGAGCATCAAGGCAGCTCCATGTTGCTGCGGACCGACCGTCTATGGCCCACAGGAAAGCAAGTGTGTCCCAACCCCCCTTGTTATTCTGCTCTCCCCTAGGACCCTGCACGCGCACATGAGGTAGTTGTCCAGCCCCGTGGATGCCAGGGTGACCAGCTTCAGGGTCTCCAGCGCGCAGCTGGCCGCCACGATGGCATTGGTGGAGGCGATGGCGGGGATGATGTTCTTCACCACGCCCTGGGTCAGCTGCAGCGTCACCCCCTGCACAAGAGTCGCGCAAAGGCAAGAGGTTGGCGGAGAGAGGAGTGTGCTAAATGCTCCCAGCCGACTGCTGGAGAGTACTCTGGGGCCCAGCTTCCCGGCCAGCATTCAGCACATGGGCCACCACACCTCCAGAATCCACTCTGCACACCTGGATGCCAAACTCCTTGGCCCGCTCCTGCGCCCTGGCAAACATCCAATGCATGTGCGCCTCGATGTCTGCAAGGTGCTCACAGAGGGTGGGGTCTTACATACTGAGGACAGACCAGCGGGGGGGCCTGTCGGAAACGAGCTACATTCTTTTTATGCCGACAATCATTGCAACTCACGTGCCGGGCTGATGGTGATGACCATGCCAGAAAGTCGTATTCAACCCCCCCCCAAAACACTCACCTGGGTCAAAAGCCGTGTCTTGGTGTTCACGTGGCCACAGGATGATCTTGGCGTACTCTATGCAGTGCGCCGGGGATCTACGTGAGACGGAGGTGAACGAAGGTAGGATGATGGTTGCTCTCTCAAAGCATTGCGACTTGCTCTTACAACCATCAGCTGCCCAATGGCCGTCCATGCACACTCAAAAGGTCCCGGCGATGCATCATGCAAGCACCCATTTTTGCGCAATCCTGCAAGTACGTAACATTCTCAATCCCCACCCACCAATTGTACTCACCGTGGCGTCTCAGCGATGGTGCACAAGGGAAATTTGGTCTGTGGGGGAAAGAGCCATAGCGTGCAATCAAAGCAAGGGGTGACCCCCGGCAGGAGCACGCGGGCGTGACCCCGGAGACCCTCGGTGCCGCCGTCCACCAGCGGTTTCACGGTGGCCAGGTCTGGGGTGCCGTCTGGGTTGTAGGCTGTGAGATGGATTTTGAGAGGGAGCAAATGCGTGAGTCCTCAAGCAGGTTGGGGGCCTTGACACATTTAAGAGAATGGCGAGGTCCGCAGCACTTCAACGCGGTCATCAGGGAATTGGCAGGGACACCCCTGCCTGGGCCTGTTAGCCAGTTCCTGATTGCTGCGAGGGCTGACCCACATTCAGAATCCCTCATGTCCGCCCTGCACTACCCTCCCTCCCTCATGCCTCCCTCTCAATACATGCAAGGCCTGAACTCACACAGGAAGCTGCAGGCGACGGCGTTCATGTGCCGCCGAGCCTCCAGCGAGTCCAGGCCGAGGACGATGACATGAAACTGGGCGTAGAAATCCAGGCCCTTGTCCTGCAAGGAAAGAAGGCACATTTCTGGCATGAGGGGGGGGGATGAGAGGTTCCCATCGTCTGCCTCCTTCCAGTGAGACTCTATCTGGACCTGCCAGACCCAGACTCACGACCCAATTCTCCCCAGACACCCACCAACACCCCACCCACCTGGATCATGGCATGGTGGGGGGTCACCGTCAGCCCCGCCACGCGCTGCATGGTGCGGGCCGCCGCCACCTCGGCCTTGCTGCGCCCCACGTCGGCGGTGCGGAAGAGGAACTGGCGGTTGAGGTTGGTGATGTCGATGGTGTCCATGTCGATCACGTCGATGGAGCCAAACCCAGACAGCGCCAGGTCCTTGAGCAGCTCGCAGCCCAGGCCCCCGGCGCCCACCACCAGAATCCTGGGCAGGGCGATGCGGGATGGGGTGGAGGGTAGGTGGGGGCCCAACGAGCGGCCAGGCTGGGCAGGGTGCAAACCTCGCCTTCCCCAGGGATCATGCAGCTCATGGCTGCTGGGAGCGTGGTGGCAGTCCCAGCCAAGCTCCAAACCCGACGCCGTGCACCGCACCGGCAGTCATCGTGCAGGAAGTCACGGAGCTCGGGGCCCGGCTCGAAGCCTGGGCCCACGAAGCGGCCGGGGCGGGTGAGCAGGTTGTCCAGGCCAGACCATCGTCCCTCTGGATGGTTCATCCCGCCTCACGATACCCTGAGACGCTGCTGACCGTGCTCAGGATCCTGGCAAAGACGGCATGCTCTCCTGCCGTGTGGGTCCCAGGGATGTGATCATGCGGAGGCTGGTCACCTCGAAGCGAAATGATTGCAATCACAGGTCGCCCTGAATTACACACCTTTGGGCTTGATGATGGCGACTCGTCTCTGTGATGGGCGGAGCAGCGATCAGAGGGGTTCGGCAGGGGTCCTCATCAGCATGGTGGCCTACTGGGGCGCCTCGACTTCCGTGTATGAGCACACATGTCAGCAAGTAGGGTGTCTCCGGCAGTCCTCCCTCTGCAATGCTGAAACCTCTCTGTCATTGTTGTCGAAGTTGCAGTACAGTCCATCTGAGACAAGGGCAGGCGTCATGGAAACAGTAGCATTGATCTTGCAATATTATGATGATGGGCAGGATAGGTGAAAGGGCGAGGGTGGGTTCTGACAGGTTCTGGCTGCAGGGGCAGCCGGGAATGTGAAGGGGAGGCACGTACACTACTTCAAGGGGTTCCCATCAGCTGGGAAACGCAAGCATCAAAGCCCTTAGTCTGCCGTCACTGCGCCTGGGAACACCGACGCGACGTCAATGGGGGCCACCGCGGCAGTGGAGGCCTGGCAGCGTCCGAAGAAGGGTGCTACCAGGGCCTCGTTGGCCGTCATGCCTGAGTTGTAGGGATGGATGTGGGCCTTGAACCTGTGATGAAGGGGGGGGAGGGGGGAGGGGTTGAGAATGACAGAAATACCTGAATCTAGCAGCCACGTACTCGGCCCAGCAGCCACTCATATGAGCCATGCATGCAGCCCAGTGACCCAGCTGCTCACAACATGCGGTAGCGGCGGATGGGGCGGTACCACTTGCGGTTGACCCCAAAGTTACGAAGACGGTGGCTCTTCTCGCCGCTCTTCTCCTCCTTGTGCCCCGTCTGCCTCGCCAGGTTGGCCTTGTTCATCTCCTGCGAGGGCATAAAACGGCAGGGGAGTGAGGTAATGGAACAGACTCAAGATGCCAGGATGGCCAAAAAGCGAGGTCCATCATCGCTCCTGCCTGCCTTCAATGTCTCACCCCTTGCACTGCCTTGCTGGGAGCAAGCAGAGGGAGCAGGCACCCTCCGGCATGCAGTTGCATGCCGGACCGATAGCTTGGCCCCCAGGTCCCCTCTGCTGTCGCCCAAGCCCCTTCCCCTTCACTGGCGGGCAACACAACAGCAGGCACAGTACCTGCAGGCTCTCTGCTCGGTCCAGGGTTCCGTACAGGTTGTTGGTGCCAGTCTCGCTGGCCGCGGCAAAGGAGGCCTTGACCTTCACGCCCGTGCAATGGAACACGAGGCTGATGAAGGCATTTACCAGGTCCTCGTCATGCTTTGGCCAGACCCTGCGGCCCCGGCAAAACACATGGTAGGAGCTGACGCGTGTGCTTTCAGTCAGGACCTTGGCACACCACACCGCGCCGAAAGCAATCACCCCTGGGGGCTCTCTGTTTGACCTGTACCCACTCCCACCTGTTGTCCAGGGCCATCCCCACAGAGAGCAAGATGTGAAACACATCCCCCTTGCGCCGCCAGAAGTTCCTGTGAGTGATTTCGATGATGGGGAAGAAGGAATCGAGTCGTCATCCTTAATGGGTGGCACGCCCTGCGCACTGTGAGCAGGGGCGCCACCGAGAGGCACCTTTACGCTCACGAGTCTCCAGTTCCCTTTTCAACTGGGTTGGCAACCTGCCAGAGGTGCCAGCCCCTCTCAAGATAGTTGCGCTTGCGAATTCATGCCATGCAGCCCCTCCCACTCTGTAGAATCCAATCGCTCACCGGTACAGGCTCTCCACGGGGCTCATGCTGACAGCCTCGATGTTGTCCCCCTTGGCCTGGGGGTTTGCCAGGGGATCATCCAGGGCTGCACGGGCAGGAAAAGGGGGATGTTGTCTGCATGCCTGTGAACTCCTCTGGAATGCTCAGTTGCAAGTGATGCCAGCAGAGGCATGGCATGCTGCACGCTGTGTTCCCTGGCAATTCCAGGCCACGAACCTTGCAAATCCCTCTGGAGCAAGGCGCCACACCCTCCCTTGCCTGGACCAAGTGGGTAGCCCCACCCCCAACGAACCCATCCATACCACCCCCTCACCAAAGCCAGACTCCTTCATCAGGCGGCGCGTGGCGTTGTTCAGGCGCGGGATGCGCTTGCTGGCGCCCAGCACCACGCCCGCCGGCGCCTCCGTGAAGGACTCGTCTGACACCACGGGGAAAGCGCCCACAGGCGTCTGCTTCACCCGGAATTTGTTCTTCAGCTTCGTGGGCAGCAGGTGCCAGGCGTGGCTGGCGCGCCCCACCGCGCCCGTGCTCGTCTGCAGGGGCACCGTGCGGTTGATCCCGGGGTGGGTGCCCTCCCGCGAGGGGAACACCACCTCCTTGGCCGCCACCACGTGCTTGATGCGCTGGAGCACGCCCTTGTACTCAGTGCCGCCCGTGGACTCCGCCAGCCGCTCGTCGAAGATGGCCACGCCGTAGTCGATGATCTTGAACTCCACCTGGGGGCCCAGGGGCAGCATCTCGCCCGAGGCGCTGCAGGTGAAACCACGCACAGGCTTCACCCTGCGGTGGGAGTGGCGCTCCGGCAGGTCGGCGTCCGCGGCGTTGAGCTTGGCCGCCGCCGAGGTGCCGCCCGCAGGCTCGCCCGCGGAGCTGGTGGGGGAACCCGGGGCGGGGTCGCTCCCGCTGCTCTCCGCCTGCCGCAGCGAATCGAGGCTCTTCGCCGTCTGCTCCTCTGCCACATCCGTGAACACACTGTGGAAGGTCGCCGGTGTGACATGAGCGAGCAGGGAAGCATGATGAGAAGAAGGGATGATGCCCACAAGAGGGCCAGGCACCCCAAGCCCCAGCTTGCTCGGATTATCGCGCGGGGGGGAAAGTGGATTATAACCCCAGCACACACAGCGGCACATGCCTCACCGAGGGTAACACTCCATGATGTTCCGCATGCCCAGGTCAGCGTGGTGGAAGCCCAGCTTGCGCTGCGCCGCAGCCAGTGCAGAGAAGGACTGGGAGGCGGGGGAAAGGAGGGAGAGGACATTGGAGGGCGAGGCGGCAGGCTCTGAGGACCCGTGTGATTTGTGGCATGCTAACAAAACCAGCTGATCTTCCAGTTTACCCACAGTAACGATCAGGGGCTTGGCTCACCTGGTACAGCATTTCCCGGACATAGTGTATGTTGTGGAAATCGGGCTCCAAGAGACGCTTGTGCACCTCCCAGCCTGCGATCACGCAAATGGCACTGAGTGGCAAGGTGCAGTGAGGAGCACCCGGCCGACATCACGACATTGAAGCAAGCAAAGGCCCGCAACACACGATCAACAGAGTAGTGCCCAGCCATACCAGTGCGCAGTCCCTGCCTACCCTGCAGCTTCTCCATGGTCATGCCGGTGAAGGTGACTCGGTCATTGGCCTCCACGACGACGCAGTCATAGACACGCATAAAACCGGGCAGCGTCCCGTCCTCATTCTGCAGCGCCACTCGCATCTGATGTGATGGCAGGGAAGTGGGGATAAGCTTACATGCTTGCACTCCTGCTCCATGAGACTCAAAACCCCAGGTGCTCGTGCTCAAGCCACAGCAATCCAACCCTCAGCAAACCTGAATGCCGATCTCCCATTCTCGTTCCCCGCCGATCCAGACGACTGGACTGTTGAGGATCTTGTGTCCAAGATCGGCGTGGGCCACCTTGATCACTTTCCCAGAGGGCGTGCCATCGGAGCGCACCAGCTCGAAGACTCGTGCCTTCAGGATGAGGGGAGGATTTTGCAGTGACCGTTGGTGAGCATTAACCAGTAACCTCCCGGCAGGACTGCACTCATAGAGTGCATTGGACGCCCTTCAAACCCCCAGCATGGTACAAGCGTCTCATATTCCACATACCTGGACTCCTGCCCCCAGAAGGCGCCCGAACTTGACCCCTTCCCACAACTCTTGGCCCTCGCGAATGGTCATTCCTGCAGGCAGCAGCACCGCCCCAGGCTCCAAGCTCTTATCCATGGCGTCGTTGAGCTCCGCTACATCCCCATCACCGATAGGAGTGTTCCTGGGTTGAAGTTTTCGCCTGTCGATGGAGAAGGATGGAAGAGACGACATGCTGCGGCCTTTGTTGTCAGGCTACGGCGTTTCTGTCGACGACGGGAAACAGACTCCTACACTTTGGAAGGACGTTTGCTGGAGAAGAAGACTGTGCGGAGAAAGTTTGAAACCGGTAACGTCAGTGGCCTGTCAATATCTCCGGGAGCACTGGGGTCTGTTGCCGCTGCTGAGAACCTAGGTAAAATCGACGTCCGGAAACACACTACACAACAGGGGTACACTCTCTTGAGTAGTGAACTAATGTTGTGCGCCTGATACATGACTGCACCAATTACTAAATTTCAGCCAATTTATCATCTAGAGGTTGCGCGGCTTAGTTCCAAAACTGTCGAGTTCCTCTCCTGAGTGTACACGTCGACGATGACATTCTTCGGGTACGGCGTGGTGCTGAATGACTTGCCGATTCCTTTATGTAAGATAGATGCTTGTGTAAGCATCATTGGACACGCGAGAGGGACAGAGTGGTGATGGGTCTGGGGTCACAGTGTTTATGCTTGACCTGAGGCCCCTCCTCTGTCTCACACAGGCGCCCCAGAAACCCCTCAGACCTACCCGATGACTCCCCAGACCTCAGTCTGGTGATGGCGTTCGTCACAGGGGTGGGAGGCCTGTCGGCCTACTTCAGCAAGCGCAGCATCCCAGGGGTGAGAGGGCCTTGAGCGGTGCTGAGTTGTCTGCAGGGTAAAGAAGGGAAGCATGAGGCATTCGATGCGGGTCTATCTCAAGGGTGTATGTCATCACAGAGGGTCTCATGAGCTTGACAACGGGGATGTGCATGCCGTGGCATCGTGCTAAAGGGCTTGTGTTCGCGACGCATGCCTGCAGTCTCATCCAGATTGATGTCAGGGGCGTGTGAGGCTTGCCGCGGCCCGCCTTGGTCGGGGGCCTTGCTGGAGTCTGCTTTCCCTTCATCAATTGCTCGCAGTTGGTGACCGGGCTGGGACTTGGCGCTGTGTTTGCCGTCGGTGGGTACTGGGTGACGACCAACCAGCCGGAGAAACATCAGGCGGCACACCAGATGTCCCTGATCTCGTCAGTCCTCTTCGCAGGGGCCATGGGGTACCGGGCCTCTGCCAACCCCTACGTGAGTGACGTCGTGTCTTGTGAACTCCTGCATCCCGCGGGCCTGGTATCCTCATATGCATGGGTGCAGGGCCTGCAGTTGTTAACAGCAGGACATGACGACCCGCTCCCGCCCATCCTCGTGACCCTCCTCGCCCCCCAGGCCGGCCCTGGGGGAAACATGCTGGCAGCCCTGGGCATCATCTCCTCCGCCTATCACCTGACCAAGATGCTGGAGTGGCAGGCCTACGAACAGCAGCGCATCGAGGCGGCCAGCAGGCTGCTTGCGCAGTACCAGACCGGCACGGTACCGCATCAGGACGGCGAGGCGGGACCCATCATGCCACCCAGGCGACCCGCGCCCCCCGGGGGGTTTTAGCTTGTGGCGGTGAATCGAGCTTGTGAAGGAGCGGTTGCGGAAGCTTTGCACAGCCCATCCTAATTGCTTTCAAACTTGAGGGCTAACAGCGTAGACCCCATCGCGGTGGCAAACTCTCCCTTCAACCTTATGGAACTACAACCTCCGTCTTCCTGGACCAGCAGCACTGGGTAAAGGATGATGCTCACGCCAAGCACATGGTTCTTGCCCTCAGTCTAGCGCAGTGTCTGCCATGTTTGAGCTGGAACTGGGACAGTTACCTACTTCGGTTGGAAAAGAGCATGGCAGACGGCTTGGACCGCCTCGTTTTGGTGGAATCGCTGTTCTCAGATGATTCAGTTCCTGGGATCTCCATACAGAGGAGATCAACGCGGCGACAGCTCATAACCCCTTGCGCGCCCTGCCTGCAGAGATGGCCGCATGCAGACGCGAAAGGCTGCGCATCCGTTGTCTCTGTCGTACTTCAGAGCCTGGGCAATGTCATGTGTTTTGTGAACGAGCGTACCCGGCGAGGGCTCATCAAACCCACACTTTCAGCTTTCACCTGCGGTTCCTCCGAACCACCCCCTAGCCTTTCGCTCTTGTGAGGCAGCCCCAAACCTCTGCCATCCCTTGGAACAACTTTGTTGAGTATATTTCCAAAGCGCCACCCCTTTCCCGGGCACGATCCCGTCCTCTGTTCTGGGAGTGTCGGGGTGCGTGGCCAAACCCTGATGGCCCTGCACCGGGATGTGCTCATCCTCACGCACCTGGCCCTGTGGGCCCAGCTCGGGGTGCTCACCCGCATCTTCTTCAGCAAATTCTTCGTGCTGGGATGCTCTGGCCAGTGGGGCCCTTGCCTGACGGGTGGGACCTACTACGGGTCCCTGCCCCCCAACCTCCTGGGCAGCCTGATCATGGGAGCCCTCGTGTCCTCCTCGGTGGTGGGCTTGAGCACGCCCAAGGAGGTGACCCTGCTCCCCGCCAGCCACCCCTGGCAGAAGAACATCCCGCTGCACATTGGCACGTGTTTGGGGGGGAGGGGGCTCCAGCGATTCAGGCTCATGGGTTGAGGCTGTGCAGCGAGCGCCCGAGGGTCGGTGTTCTACACTACCCCTGGCATGCGGCGAGTGCCTGGCATGCATGCTCGCTTGCAACCCTGAAGAGGCGCCGGCTCCCATTCCTGGGCCATCTGCGGACCACTCTCCGGCCTCCGTTCAACGCCCTGCTCCCCTGTGCCCCCTCCCACTACTCCCCAGGCTTGCGCACGGGATACTGCGGGTCCCTGACCACCTTTGGGACCTGGCAGGTGGAGCTGATGACGGAGGCCATCAGCCTGAACCAGTGGGTGAATGCCATCATGGCCTACATTGTGGGCCTGGCTGCCAGCCTCATGGCCTACATTGTTGGCTGCCACATTGCGCTGGGAATCGACAGGTGGGGAGGAGGAGAACAGTGTGGAGCCTGGGCAGGCTGTGAACGCCGTGCGGGAGCGGGAACTTCTGCACCTCCTGCATCCATGGCGCGTTGAATGGATGTGCATGGTTTGGCCGGGGTATAAGGCAGAACCTATGCTGCCCTTCGTCCGCTCGCCTCCCTGCCAAGTGCACCGCCACTCCCCCACACGCCACCTGAGCTGTCCCTCACCAACCCTCCCCGAGTGTTAACCCCACACAGGTACTTGCTGCCTGAGCGGGAGGACGTGCTGGCCCAGGAGGCCGCCTTCCTCGCCGAGGAGGTGGCCGCCGAGCGCGGGCGCCGCCCCCCGCGCATCAGCCCCTCCCAGGCCGAGGAGCTGGAGGTTGACCTGGACCTGCCCCGCATCTCCTCCGGCCCCTACCCCGCCGACCCCGCGCTCGCCGACGGCACGCCCAAGGCGGTCCTGGGCGCGGAGGAGGGCGCGCCGGGGCCCCAGCCCCGCCCGTGGGCGAGGTGGCGCGGCAACCGCACGCACGCCGCGACCGCGCTGGCCCTGGCGGCCCTCACCGCTGGCTGGGCGGTGGGCGCCGGGCTGGAAAGGGAGCACACCTGGATCCGGACCGCTTTCTTCTCCGTTCTGCTGGGCGTGCCGGGGTATGGCGGGAGGGGCTGGGGCGGTCTGGGGGAGCTGCCGGGGCGGTCTGAGGGAGCTGCCGTGACTGTCTTTGGCAGGTTTGGGCCGCCGCATCAGCGACAGAGCCTCAGCCTGGCAGGCGCTGGCGGCCTCTCTTTCTTCTGCAGGCGCCAAATTCTCCGGAGGGATGGGAGTCGCAGCGCAGTCGCCGCCTGTAGCCGCGCGTCCCTTGCTCCGCCAACCGAACACACCCACCTTCCCATGACCATTCTCCTATCTCACCAGGTGCTGGCTGCGCTGGTTCCTGGCGCAGCAGCTCAACTACAGGCAGTCCAGCCGGTGCCCGTGGTACCCGACGGGCACGCTGGCGGCCAACATGCTCGGCACGGCCACCAGCTTCGCCATGGCCGCCACCCAGGCTCGAGCCGGGCTGGGGTACTGGGGCGCGCTGCTCACCAGCGCCGTCCAGACCGGGTTCTGCGGCGCGCTGACCACGGTTTCCACCCTAGTGGCAGAGGTACGGCGAGGAAAGGGGGAGTGTGGTGTGGCTGGTGGTTGGGTGGGCCAGGCGGATCTGCCTCGGTCAAGGGTCCCAGACTAGTCCTCCAAGCATGGACTTCCTTGCTTGCGGCACTCGCACGCTCCCCTTCGCCCCCCTCATCTCCCTCCTTCCTCCCTCTCCATCCCCATGCAGATCGTGAAATTCTCTGCGGTCTACCCCGACCAGTTCCACGCCTACACATACACCCTGCACTCGCTGGTGGGGGGCGCCCTTCTAGGCATCGCCGTCTACGGCGGGGCCTACTGGTCGCAGTGAGATGTTGCTGCATGGATGCAGCCGCTCCCGGCCTCGCTGCTCGCACTTAAATGCATCTGACGAGGGAGGAGCCTCCATGCCCATGTGCATGCCGATGCCTGGAAGCGCCCTGGCGAGTGCAGGGCTGGCCCCTCCACGCATCCCGCCCATCGTCACATCATGATAATGGCTGTGCACTCCCCACCCAAGCCCGTGATACTGTAATCGGGGGGTTCTTGCGCCCCTGGACCCTCAGACCATGGGGAGCCGCCAGTCATGTTGGGGATCAGAGTTACATGCACCGGGTAGCAGCATCCTCCCACACCTCACACCTCTCCCTGCTAGTGCGACAGACGACAGCACACTCAGCCCCCCGGCGGCATGAACTCCTGCACCAGGCTCCGCCCCGACACCACGCCCGTGGTAGCCACCAGGAAGTCGCAGGGGACGCGCCGCTGCGCGGCCAGCCAGCGAAGTGCCGCCACCTCGGCCGCCGTCACGCCGCCGACGTAGACCACCAGGACGAGGGGGCGGCGGGCGCCCGTCCCCAGGTCGACGCCGGCGGGGGCCGCCCCGCCGCCGCCCAGCAGCGGGCCCCGGTCTGTGCGCGTGGTCGGCTGGCCTTCGGGCCCCACGCCCTGCGCCAGCTCGGCGGTCGGGCCGGGCAGCGCGCCCAGAGCGGCCTCCACGCCGCCCCACCCGCTCCCGCTCAGCGCGGCCTGCACGACGCGCACGCTGAGCGGCGCGTACCCGGCGTATGTGAAGTGGATGTCCGGGGTCGCGTCGGCGCCGGCCCCCTCCTCCTGGGCCAGCAGCCCAAAGGCTTCACGCACCAACGGGAATGCCGAGCGTCTGCTCTCCCTCCG